TTTATTGCATAAATTTATAAACCTTTTAGTGCTATATAAAATAAAATAACTGCTCCATCTGCGCTAAAAACATGGAACTCATATTTGTATCTATTGTAAATAAAGCACCTTGGAAATCCATCTGATGCACAAAAGCATAAGAAACAGAGGTGATGAGAACAGTACCTAGTGTTCCTATCAGGCAACTCTGCAAGACTTAGTTTGAGACTGTATCTGTAATTACAGTTACTTGTTTTATATCAGTGATAAACTGCAAATGCAACACAGCCTGAGAACAGCAAAGTCACATTTCAAGTTTTGTCTCTTTTCCCCTTCCAAAGAACTGGAAAAAATTTAGGCAGTTATAAACTAAAAATGCACAAAATATTTCCCTTACACATTCAAAAGCTGGCAAGAAGTGATTCTTAACACAATTAGATTTAGCCTTTCACAGGTTCTTTCTGGAGGTGTCACTGGAGGTATCATTCTGCACAATGGTCAGAAGCCAGCAGTGTGATGCCAGGAACCCTCAGTTTCCTAAATCCATAATTTGTCATTTGGCTCCAGTTTCTCTTTTGCCTGGGTTCATCAATTCTCTCTCTGCATTCTTTTCTTAACAGAAGGAATAGAAAAAAAAAATTAAAAGTAAAGGAAATTCAACACAATCCTCAGTTGTATACTCCCACTTCTGGAGAGTGGGAGTATACAATGGGCTGCCTGCACCATTAGCTAAAGGTGTAGAAGCAGTGTACAAAGGGGGAAAGTGCTTTGTTTTGGTATTGCAAGGCAGGCAGTAAGGGCCAGGCACTGTCCATCCTAGATGCAGGCAACTCCTGTTTACCATATCACACCTCAGATTCTCCATGGCCTTAAAGCAAAACCAAAGGCCATAGTTTTGCAATTGCCCCCTAGGCCAGCACCATACTTTCGTGGAATTATTCTTGCTGCCACATGTGTTTTCTCAGACATGGTATTTTCTTTTCTTTCTAATGGTAAATTTAACAGGTTATCCTACAGACTAATTTTTATCCAGTACTTATTTTCCCTGAAGGGCTGGAATTGTACCTAATACACTGACAAACAATCAGCATAACCACTGCAAGCAGTACTCTGCCAACACCACTTGAAAGCATACTGTGCAAAATCACAATGTGGTGAAAAAAAATAATTCCTTTACAACTCCAATCACATTCTCCAAATAGCCACATTTATAGCACAATGTGTGAATAAGGGTATAGATTTATCAGGCAGTTTTAGAAAACACATTAAGAGAAAAAGCTTAAAGGAGAGTGGTAGCTTTTTTTATATAATGGTGATTTTCTTCTGTGAAGAGTTCTAATGTGTTTTTTAGCTAATTTTTGCAAACCCTCCTGTATTAGTCATTCCAGTATTAAAGCAGAAATGAACACTTCCTTACATAATCTTAATTATATTTCTCTTTTGCTGATAGTATCTAAAAATCAACACATTACAAATATCTGAAAGGCATCAATTCTATTTGCAAAGCCAAATAACTTTATCAAGCTCAAAATATCTAATCAAAAACTTAGCATCAGTTTACAAATATATTAGGCAGGAGTACTTCTCATGCAAGGAAACATTCTGAGTTCAAAACCCAAGAGAGTTAAAAGGGAACTCTAATACATTACAGCACAGCTGTCTCCCCTTTCAGAAGTCTGAAGACCAGCTATTGGCCAGTATCTTCCTTACTTCCTTAAACATTCAACTTTTCTACCACCTTTTATACATATAGACTTGTTTCACTGCATACATACAGTATGACAACTTACAGAAAAACATATAATCAAATTTTATCTCATAACAACAAAGTATAGCTAACCATTAACAATTAGTTTATGAGAAATGCCTCACCCTGAGATCTCTGTAGAATGACCTAAAATACAGCACATGGAAGCATCCTCCAACTGCCTTCCTCCTAAAAAGTCTTTTATTGCTCTTTCTTCCATTATTTTTCAGATATTCCAGCTTGTCTAGCCCCCTAGGCCACCTGAATCTTAGTAAGGTCCTCCCCACCACAACTGTTCTTTTTTTCCTTGCACTGCTACCAGTTACTTCTCCCTTATGTTACTTCAACAGAATCATCTTCTAAATGTCAACCTTCACTAGCCACTTTATTCTCATCTAAGTTCCCAGACTTAATCTGTTAGTCCCTCCAATATTTAGCCCTACTGTACCCATCAGATCTAGGTTTGGACGTATGTTCATCTTTGTTGACGGCAGTAGCCTCAGCTTAACCTTTCTCAAAACACAACTTTCCACCTTAGTGTGGATAGCAAATCCCTGAAAGGCAGAACGTGGCCAAATGTATGGATTGCCCCTGGCTGAGCAGGAACCAGCATAGCACTGTCTCCTTCACTCCAGCTGCCACCCTCCAGTTGCAGCCACCTTCGTTTTCAGATGCTCAGAACTTCCATTAGGCTTTAGAACACTTGGCACAACAGGGCCCCGAGTTCTTTGTCCTTTTAATGCTACCACTGCCGTGTAAACCTTAAGTAGCAGTTCATATGAGATAGTTTATGGGATATACGTCCTGGTGCTGCTCAAGTAGTCTCCATTACAGAAGGTGAAGAAAGAAGTTAATATTTGAATTCAGGTTTATAATCCCCAATCACACGTAGGCAACAGAAGCATATTTGGAAGTGACCTCAGTTTATAAAATGGTCCATCTTTGAGACTGTGTAAACAAAATGCCTGGCAGGTAGTGAAATAAAACATTTATACCCATGTGAATATACACATCCATATGTATTCCTATTTATGTTATGGTGACTCCAGACTTTCCTTCGTGCTGTTAGTACCTTTGTGTGCACTGGAATCAATCAGCCTCAGTCCCAGCAGTTCTATTAGCTTTTATCTCCCAGCATTTTCTAAAAGTGGCTCATGGTGACTGATATAAATAAAAGCAGCTTTTTACAGGAACAACAGATTTATAACTTTAATAAGACTGCCCTCCTTCCTGCATTAAAGTCTACAGTACATGACAAATCAGGTTAAGCAAGCTGGTATCAAATCTGAAGCCAAATGCATTTTTGAGCCAAATCTTAATTCTCTGAAGAGCCTCAAGTATATTTTGAAGATGTTAAATTATTGATAAGGAAAATCAATTCTTTTTCCAGCTCAGGCAATGTCATACAGTCACAGTATATGCAGTAGCTAAGGCAGATTTTCTGTTTTATTTACATCATGACCCTTTAGAATTAAATTACCTACTTTCTTCCTCTTTAGAATCCTGATAAACAGTCACTACCGACAGCTTAACAACTTCTGTTAATGTCAAATAAAAGATTTGTCTGAAAACAGACTGTCAGAAACAGACAAGAAAACCATGAGACACCAGCACACACCTAAGTTTATTTATTAAACTCATATTATTCCACCAATATCATTAAACCTGGACACTTCAGCAAATAAACTGCAATGTGTTCTGATCTGACCGTGAACAGGTGCCTCAAAGGGTCTGAAATAATAAAGTATGTTCCATCCACGAAGGCATCAAAACAGCAAACAATCCTGGGAGAACGTTGGCAGATACCAAGAATAGTTCTTTGCAAACTTTTCCAAGCCAAAAAATTAGTAGCATCTATATATATCTGCTTCCAAGTTATTTCAGCCCGGTGATTTTATTTAGTGATCTCCTAGCTTTTCCAGATAAAAGCTCAGGCGCAACAATGGATATGGTGATAGAAGCATTTTTAAAAGCACCCCAACCATCATAGTACAAGATACATAAAAGAGGAAAAAAAAATAAAATGTTACCAATCTTTCCTGTTCTAAAGTAGAACAGCAATAGTGAATAAGCAATTATTTACCAAGGATCAACAACCACCCTCATTCCCTTTCCTTCCCTTTCCCAAAAATATCCTAACAATCTGGTGAGTTAATGGAGAATTCCCTTGGGATTTCCTATTGAAGATGTCCAGTTTACTAAAAAATATGCAAGTATCCAACAAAGGAAAAACTGACTCTCCAGGTTAGTTACTATGCATCTCCCATTGGATACCTCAGACTATACCCTATTGTAGTGTTATACACAGAATAACCTTAACAGATAAAAATTAGTAACTGTGTGCACACAAACAAAAATATCTTTTGTTAGGTCACCCTCCAAGATGCCTCTGCCAAATGCAAAAGATCTGTTCCCAGTTCTTTGATGGGTGTCCCCAGAACTGAGAAAAAGCAGATTTTCTGTAAGAGATGTGAGCCATCAATGCTACAGCTCCCAAAATACTCCCAAATGAAACCACTCAGCAAAAAGAGTGAGGTTGCAATTAACTACTAAACAAGCAAATTCATATTTTTGATTAATAAAGCATCTCTAAGAAAATCTTTTCTAAGTTCTAACATGAAACCCACAATAAATGCCTGTTTTTCAATCAGCCCCAATTCAAATGTGAGATGGCAAATATCCAGACAGGAAAACTATCTGAAAACCACACATAATAGGCCCTCAAAATAGAGCGGATTTAATTCCTTTGCTGGAAGTGACTTTCTCTAAGCTCCGATTTTGACGATACTGTTTCTGATCTAATGAAATGAGAAATCTGCTGCGGCAAGAAGCTCACCTAAGCGCTCTGGAGAGCGCTCATACGTCTAGGCAAAACACAGCCACTTGCCGAAGGTAAATAACAGATGTTGTTTTTCCTTCCTACTTAACTACGACCGCATTTGCTGCCTGTCTACCCGTGGAGCCCGACAGCTCCCGGCAGGATGAGGGGGCAATGGGCAGCGGCGGTGCCAGCGGCAGCGCGGGTGGCGGTGCCCCGCAGCCCTCCCCGGACACCGGTGCCCAGCCGGTGCTCCCAGCCCGCAGCACAGGCACCGCTGCCCACCGCACCCCCCCACGGGCCCCTCCTCACAGCGCCCCGGTCCAGCGGCGCCACAAGCCCCGCTCCCGGCCGGGCCGGCCAGAGCGCGGGGCCGCCCCGCGGGACCGCCCCGCCCGGGCACGGCTCCGGAGCGCAGCGCGCAGGCGCGGGGCCGCCCCCTCCCCGCGCGCCCCGGCGGAAGCCGCAGCGAGTGCGGCAGCCCGTGCTCCGCGTGTCCCCGCTCCCGCATTCCCCCCACCCCGCGCGGAAAGCATGGCGGGGATAGGTGCGGCCCTGCTCGCGGGGCTGCTGGCGAGGCTGGCGCTGGTGCTGTACGGGCTGCACCAGGACCGCACCATGCGGGTGCGCTACACCGACGTCGACTACCGGGTGTTCACGGACGCGGCGCGGCTGGTGACCGAGGGCCGCTCGCCCTACCGGCGGGCCACCTACCGCTACACGCCGCTCCTGGCCTGGCTGCTGACGCCCAACGTGTTCCTCACCGAGGCCTTCGGGAAGCTGCTCTTCGTGGCCGGGGACCTGGCGGTTGCTGTCGTCGCTTACCGGGCCCTATGGCGCCGGGGGACCGCCGCCGGCCGCGCCTGTGGGTGCTGCGCCGCCGCCTGGCTCCTCAACCCCCTGCCCATGGCCGTGTCCAGCCGGGGCAACGCGGAGGCGTTGGTGGCGCTGCTGGTGCTCGCCACCCTGTACTGGGTGGAGGCGGGCAGCGTGGGCAAGGCCGCCGTGTGCTACGGGCTGGCCGTGCACATGAAAATATATCCCCTGACCTACGCGCTGCCCATAGCGCTCCGCCTGCGCACCGCGCCGCGCCGCGCGGAACGGGCACTGGATGCGCGGGGGGACAAAACGGCAAAGGTCACGTTTGTGGCGCGCCTCTGGCACCTTTTTGTAAAGACGCTGAACCGCGACGTGCTACTGTTTGGAACAGTTGCCGGATCAGTGCTGGCTGCCTTGACTGTGGCATTTTATCACCTCTATGGCTGGGAGTTCTTGGAGCACGCCTACCTCTATCACCTGACTAGGAGGGATATCCGTCATAACTTCTCTCCCTATTTCTACATGTTGTACTTGACAGCAGAGAGCAAATGGAGTTTTGCCCTTGGGCTCGCAGCTTTCCTGCCCCAGCTGCTTTTGCTCCTGGTTGTTTCCATAGCATTCTACAGAGACCTTGCCTTCAGTTGTTTCCTACACACCACTATTTTTGTGACTTTTAACAAAGTATGCACATCCCAGTACTTTGTCTGGTATCTCTGCCTGTTGCCCCTCGTAATGCCTAGTATTAAGATGTCCTGGTGTAGGGGCGTGCTGCTTCTCTTTCTGTGGTTCATCGGACAAGGCCTGTGGCTTACTCCTGCATTCTTTCTGGAGTTCAAAGGATATAACACTTACTTATTTATATGGTTGGCAGGCTTGCTTTTCCTTTTAATTAATAGCCTCATAATTGTTCAGATTATTGCACATTATCAAAAAGAAGCACAAGTTGCAAAAAAACTGAAGCAACGGTAGTAAACTGACCAAAATCCAGAAACAGCCTCTTTGGTAAGGCACCACATACCACCAGCACATCATCTAACAAAAGTGCACATGAGTTGTATTAAAGCACATTGTGTGCAAATGTTACTGTTTCAGGCCGTGAGAGCACTGATGGTTCTCAGTTCCCCTGAGCAGTGGTAGCGGCTGTATCTGTCTCCTGTGTGGGTTTTGAAACTGCATTGCAACCCTGTCTCCAGCCCTCCTCCTGCTCCTGACTGAAGTCCCTGGACCAGTTCATCACTTAAACGTGTTTGAGGCCCTGGTGGATGGGCTCTACCCATCTGCACTGACTGTCTTCACCTCCTGCCTCTAGAGACAGTGGGGCTGTGCCCTGCCCTTTGACCCCTGTGCTGGGGCCACTCTCAGTTCCTGCTCATACTCCCTTATGGAGTAGCCCTGGCACCTTTTTTCTCAGTGTTAGTCTGATGAGGACCTTGGCCTTTATCTAGAATAACACAGAAGATAATAAAGGTGGAATTTGATCATAAAATTGGAGTTTGACAGTTTTGTACATTCCAGTAGGTCAGTGGGGTGTTTGGCAAGGCTATTGCTCAACATTTACAGTGGGTTTATTTTTTCTTTTGTTTCCACAGTAATATTTTAGCTATGCACTGTTTGTGGCCTGTACCTGGTCATTAGGTCATTAACTCTTTGAGACTTTTAATTTATTTTACAATTCAGATATCCCACTCTTTCACTTATTTTTGCATACTCTGTTCTGTTTGAATTTTTGAATAGATTTATTCCCCTTGCCATGGAGGAAGATTTTCCCATATACCTGTCTTGGATAACAGAGATGTATAAAGCTTATATATTTGTTTCTTCCTGACAGGTTCCACAAAAGAGGCCACTGCTCTAAATTTCAGTTAATATATGGTTATTGTGGGTGTTAACAATAGCAAATGCAGAGTCAAAGTACACTTAGAATGGCACCTGTGTCCCAAAAGCACTAGAGTTTATGCCAAAACAGTAATGGGAAGTGTTGGTTCTCTGCCATTAAAAAGAAATTAAAAAATGAAAGGAGTTGAGGAAATGGAGCAGTTCCCAGAAGAAAAGGGAAGTTTTGAAATAGGAAGCTCTACAACTTGTCAAAACACATTTATTCCCATAGGAGACACAGGAAGATTTGGAATTGAGTGCCAGGTGATAGTGAGAGGAGAGCAGATCCATTTTGGATTTGATACTCTTCAGAATATCCCATAAGAGGTCTGATGTACACAGCTTTTGACAAAGGTGGAAACTGACAATGTATTTTGGTAAAATCTAGTTCAAATAGGCATATGCCAAATAGAAGAATTTTCATATTTGCCTCACCTTCTAGTTACATCCAATGTGAAAGTGAAACCCCTACTGTGTAACATAGATTGGGGCTTCAAGGCAAAATAGCTTCAACCACTTGGTGGAATTCCCTGTGAAAGAGTGTGGCCAAGTGGATTTGCCATGCTGCCTCTGAACCCTGGTAGTCTCCTGAGGCAGCCCTTTTCCTCAGGACTGTGCTGACTTCCAGCTACCTCACTTGCAGGATTTCCTTTCCTGCTTGTAGTGCTATCTTGTGAGATGGAATTACAATATTTTAATCTGTGAACTTTTCCCATTGCTTCTCAGCCCCATCAAAGTGGTTACATGAAAGGAGAGGAAACCCGAGCCCCCACAGCTCAGAGCCGAAGGGCATGTTATCAGGAGGTGTCACCACCATGTCCTTATACCACTCTGGCCCAATTTAGACATTCTGATGTGTTAGAAGTATGATTTCCCTGTGATTTCCATGGTTAGAGTATTGGGGGTGGGGGGGTGTTTCTGCTCCCTCACTGGAAAGCCTTTCTCTGCCATCTGCCTTCTCATTTGCCTTCAAGCTGTGAAAATCCTGACAGCCTCTTTGTAAGTCCAGAAATTGGATAAGGCAATGGATATTCTTTTGACTGTCTTGGATTTTTGGGGCAGACTTGGCACTGATTTCCTACTTTGTCTGGGATGAAGAAAGTTTTATAGCACCAGTGTGTCTGCGTCTTTCACTAGAGGTGTATCAGTCAAAAAACTCGTGGCATAAGCCACTTGCACACAGTTGTATATTAATCAGCAAGACATTTTGTGTGTGCTGTGAGCATGTGAAGCAAAATCATCCCATGTGGCTTTATTCTCCAAGGCAGAGTTGGATATTCCCAGCTTCAGCAGAAGACTGGGAATATCCAGCTTCTGCTCACCCCATCCTGATGTCCAGGCAATGGCTCATTTTCCTTTGCAGTTGATCTTCCATTATCTGTTACACATTTTTCTGTTGCAAAAAGCATGTTTTCTTCCCCCAGAGCAATGTTCTGTATTGCTTTAACACACCTACTTATGCTGTTCGCAGACATTTCCACACCTCTAATTTTCCCTTCCTGTTAGCAAAGAAAGCAAATGCAAAACGCATTTCTAACCTCAAAAAACAGCATTTTAAGTTACTGTTTTCATGACAGAATTGTAATTTTTTTAGGTAAGAAGTAATTTCCTTATGAAAAATACATTCTTGACTTGTTAATAGCTACATCATTTTGAGAAGGCAAAATTTTCAGCATTTTGCATCATTTTTCAGAATACAAATTCTGAAACCCCAACAGGAGCTGAAGAGTACATTCCCTTTGCAGGTCAGTACCAGTCCTGCAGTGATGATTTGAGAAAGCCATGCATAAACAAGTTATAAAAAGGCTTTTTAAAAAACTGAGATTTACAGTCGTCATTTTAATAATCCAGGATGAGTCCCTCTTTTTACAGTTGTTTTCTAAATCACCCAAATGTGTTTGTGATTTAGAAGTAATTCAAGTGACTCATAAAAAGCTGGATAAGAGAAATAAACTGAAGGAGAGAAAAAGATATTTGAGAGTTCAGATCTTGCAAATTGCTTTTAAAAAACTATTCCATAGTTAAATGGAATTTAATAACTTTATGCATTTTTTAAAACGTGTTCAAATAATTTAATGTAACAAATAAGTTATAGTTCTTGAACAAGTTATGGTGAATAGTTATAATGCCCTTAATATTTACCAAGTTCATTTCCTATGGAACATGTATTGCTTTTGACGCTGTTCAAATTATTTTGCTTGATAATTTTGTGTCCATTTATCCTCTGATAATTAGGAACTGAAGTTTCTCAATGTTAAGTTTTCCTTCCTTACCATGGGTTGCAAAACTGTAACCGTGACTACTTTGCTTTTAAAAGGTTGAAATGCCCATTGAAGTGTGTCTCATCTGCGCTGGAACCGGCCCTTAAGCACAAGGTACAAGAGGTGAAAGAGGAAAAAGAATCAAGAAAAGTAAAATTTTTGCCTTGATTTTTACACTGTAGCCTATTGGTCAAAGACTCATGCCTGGATTCTTAGGTGACTTCAGGCAAAGCTCAGCATTTAACAAGGATTTGCTTCAAAGTTTATAAATGCAATTATTAAAAAGCAAGGTAAGCAAAAATATAATAAAAAATATTTCATTCAGTTTTAGTGTGAGAATGCTGAATTACTATATATGACACAATGTACTTGGTCCTTATTAAGTAGCATTTTTGTGTGTGTGCTACTTGCATTGACTCCTGTAATAGTAAAGAAAGCAATTAGGTGTGCTAAACTGAGCTCATCAGTTACCTGTTTCAAAGAAACCATGAGGCTTTTGCATTTAACAGCAAGGGGAAACTGTCAAAATTTTTCATAACATTGTGTAGAGAAAGTAAATGTTAAAAGAGAGTAAATTATGAGCAAAATGGATTGCTTTTTTATCTGAGAAGAATGAGTCATCTACTTCAAAAGGGCTGCAGAAATACATAGCGAACACAGGGAACCTCAAAATATATGAGGTGTTCCTCATATATTTGCCAAAGACAGCTGCAGAATGCATGTCCTAGTGATTGCAGCTTTATGGAATAGGATTACCCTGAATTTAGGACAAACCCTTTACTCAGACTGAAACCAAACCACTCAAGCAATTTTCTTGCTTAAGAGCATATTTATGTTTACTGTACTTACAAACCCAAACATTTACCTGCATGTACAAGAAGCAAAAAGAAAAGTCCTGGTCAATACACTTTGAATGACATTTTTCAGAGCTACCCTCTATAAAGCAGGTTCCTTAAATATTTCTTATATTTAGCATTCAGAATCTCTAGTGTCTCTGAAAATTAATTACATAAATTTTGATGCATATGGAAAATAAAATCATATGCTGCAGGGATCTTGAGGTGTAATAGACACGACAAAGAACCAGCTAATTCTGTATTTGAAGGTGCAAATTCCACCGGTATCCTGATGTTCTTCATTATAAAAATCTGCACTAGTCACACTTGTGTAGGAGACTTGTTTCTGTCTTTATGCATGATGAATGAGGTCAGAGACCTACATTTTATAATAGTGGAAGTATCAGAAAGATAAAAATTTCTCTTGATGCAAGTAACATTGTTTTGAGGTTTATTTTGATTATATTTCTTTTAAGACATTAATAAATTGATGCAATAAATTAATGCAACTGTTGCATGCATTTTTAATAGCTGGAATGTCTCATTTTCTTTAGTATGGTGAAGAATACCAAAATTTGTCATTTTTTAATGGTGTAAGTTGCTAGTACTTTGAGCAGAATTCCTCATGACCCGTTTCTGGTACATACTGAGAGGGGTAGGGGCTTCTGCAGAAGACGTCATTTACTGGGCTGCAGTCTTACTTCATGTGTAGATAAAGCTTTAGCTGCAGCCTCTCATCATTCTTGGAGCTTAACTTTCAGATGTTAATGATCTCTTCAGATAAAACATTTCACAGCTTGCACATAAAGTAATTACACATAAGAGATCCTCCATATTTTTCATGGAAATCGGTGGGGAAGCCAACTAGAACATCTGTGGGAGAAATGTCGAAAAGAAATGTCTGTATCTGATTAGCTACCAAAACAACTTCAGCCTTGGAAATCAGCTGAAATGCAGGCAAATTGAGCAGTAAGCCCATACTGTGAAATTCCCATTATTGATATGAAGGGTATTCTATCAGAAGTGCTTTCCCATTTTACAGGAGGAAAATGGGATCTTGATAGCAATTGTCAGGGTGGATGAATATGACTTTCCTTCCTTTACATAATTATAAGAGGGTCTATAGAATGTTATATGCTGCAGTAGCACTTGTGGAGTTGTACAGGTGTGACTTGCATAAGCTATTAGACAATATTGTTGGTGTAGCAAGAGGTTATTAGTAAGCACTTACTCTGAAACTGCTTTTTGAAGGTTAACTCAAGTAAAATCTGATTCCTGCTTCACAAGTCAGCAGCTATGTTAATTGAGATGGTACTGTTTTGACAGTAATTTTCCAAGGAGAACTGCACTCTGTAGCCCATATGCTTTCACTCTGTGCAAAAGAACATTAATTCAAATCCCCTGGTGATCTGACAGTCA